AGGCAAACTTTTTGTGCCTCCCCTCATAAAAGTAGAAACTTTTCTGACCCCCCCCCAGTGTGGATTGAAAAATTAACAGCAATGAAACAGGTGTGTGTTGCAGGTAAAGTTAGATATTAGGACAATCTGTTTAATCTAGCTCATGATGTTTTACCCTGGTGAATATGATTCAACCATATATGATTAAATATATATATATACATGTGTTACTACTTTGCAATGCAACATTTGTCCTACCATAACCCTAACCCATGACCCGTCTTCATACAGCGAAATGATTTGAACACAGGGTTTTTTAAGAACTTGTCTGGGGGGTGGGCATCTACAAAAAGGGACCATACTATATTGAGTGTGGAGAGATGACAGATGGTTGTTGGCGACAAAACGTTTGGTGTGGTATTGTATGTACTAGTAGGGTCTGGGGGTATTCTCCCCCAGAAAATTTTTTGTGTTTTTCCACCCCTAGAACTGAAATGTGATCATTTTCTGAAACAGATTTTTGGATATACAGCGTTACATTGTGCATTGATAGACCGAATCTGATCAGTTAAGTGTACTTGCATGGTATGTTTGTGTAAATACCACAACTGGGTCACTCAGGGGGTAGAAAGCTTGTTGAACTTAGTGAGCCCGACTCCCATGATTGCGAGGTGCTACCATGGTTGGCACCGAGCATGGAAATTTTGAAAATTTTGAGTCTCTAGATCGTTGGAAATAGCATTTTCAGAGTCTTCTTTTTTGCTATTTGTGATTATAGAAATCAGAACTCTAGACATGGTATTTAAGTTCAAAAACTTTTATGACCCCCCCTTTCTCTGTGTTAAAACTTTTTTGACCCCCCCTATTTATAAGGGTCAAACTTCGTTTGCCCCCTCCCATTTCCCAACCCCCCCCCCCATAAATAATGACCACTCCCTTAGACAAATTTTTCCTTCCACTGAATAATCACCCCTAAAAGCAACCCTTCTAAACACTATAAGCACTTCAGAAAGGCTGTCGGCTCGCTTTTGCTTTTCGGAAGTTAGAGCTATGTCAGAACTGCCGTTTCAGGGCGGGGTCATTTTCAGGACTTTCATCCCGGATTCAGGTTTTGGCACATATGCCATATTGACCGCCATGGTCATTTTACCCTAAAACAGTTGAGATTACCTGTGGTAAATGAAATGCATACAAACTCCTATACAGGTCCTAGACTACCAGTCTTATTTTAGATCAGTGGTTACTATACTGTCCCGGCAAGATTGGGCTGCCAATGCATTATCGACAAATTCAAACATTCTATTTTGAAAGTACATTAGGCGAATTTACGCATTTAGTGAACAGATAATTTGACAAATTTATTAATTTGACAAATTTATATATTTATTTGACGAATAGGAAAATTTACATACATGCATTTTGAACCCAATAAACTACCACTATTCATGTATTTATATTTACAGTTCAACACTGCCAAACGCGATGAGTAAAGTCTGTTTTCCACTAGCGAATTCGTTCGCGCGAATCTTTTGTCTTACGAGCTCTCGGCTGGAACTAATTAAATTTTTAATCAATTCCTTTCAATTCAAATAATATTATAATACAAATTCGCTTCGCGCGAAGAAATTCGCAAGTGGAAACCGGCATAAGACAAAACTTTATAAGAAGAGTCAAACTTGCGACAATCTTAATAGTATGCGTGACCGATTCACAAGCTATAAAAATTAAAAATCGAACAACAAACCTCAATCGTCCATCAAATACTTCGCTCTAGATAACCAGAATGTTTGTAGAAATATTACATATAACCAACGATAACAACATTCTTGAAAGCCCTTCGACAAAATGTGAAATATTTCAGTCCATACTACCGACAATCAATTTGCCAACTGTAATTTTGTAAAAATTCCAAGTAATTAAGTAAAAGCTGGTTAGCACTATTTTCCATCCAGCAAACTGACTTGACGTCATTTTCGGAAGATGAAAGAGGTGTTAAATGGCTATGTAACTAACCCAAACCCTACCGCAACTCTTACCCCTATCCCTAACCGTAACCGCAACCCTAGTCTAACCCTAACGGCCTAACCGAATTAATAAAAAAATCCAAAAGGAAACGACTTTAGAAAATCGATAGGGAAGTTTGCTGGATGTAAAATAGTGCTAACCAAAGTAGAAGCTCCCAAAATATCCCGAGATTCCCTAAAAAATCCCGACATTCCTACTTTTTACGTCATTATTGATTTAGGTGTTTTTCGCGCCAATTTCGGGTGGAATAGCCTCGTACGTCATGTTGTAAAAACGAAATCTGACATCAATATGCAACTAAGTGGGCGAGTGGCGAGAACACAACGGCTGGAATCTGAGCCTATATGCAACTCAATAGGGTTTAATTTAAATACGAGCGAACGAACCCTGGATTTTTAGCAAAACTGTTTATTATAGTCAATTTTACCAAAAAATTAAAAAATGCAAAATTAACGAGTAAAAACGTTACAAAAGCATACAAATAACACTGAGCAAATCATTATACGATTTATTATGGGAAAAACTAATGTTAGTAATGCATGGTTGCACGCATATATAATAAACTAAACACTGTTGCAGAACACCGTGTTCACTCCATTTCGTATCGTTCTAGAACAGTGTTCCAAATGTTCTAGACTAACAGTAAATGGAGCAGCCTGCTGGGGGAATCCAAACCGGAACACCAAAGAACGAGATTAATGTTCAAGTGAGTCTTACGAGTCAATGAGTTGTGAGTTATGAGTCAATGAAGTCAATGAGTTATGAGTCTAAAAAATCGGGTTTTATTGTATTTAACTTTTTGTAATTTTTTCATTTTTATGTCCACCTGGGGCTGGTTGTATAAAAAAGTGATTAAAGTTAACTATAGTTAGTGGAAACGTCATCCAATAAGAAGCGCGTATTTGAGAGTTAATCACTACTTAACTACTGAAAATAGTGATTAAAAAAGTGATTAAGAGTTTTATACAACCGGCCCGAGGAGGTTATTTTTTGTTTGTTCCTTTGTCCGTCGGTTTGTCTGTCTGTACGCAAAATATTTACAGAAATAATGGACAGAGTTTTACGAAATTTTGGATGAAGAATACTCATACGCCAGGAACCAATCAATCAATTAAAGACCATGTAAAGTCCGTTCTGCGCATACGTTCTGCGCATACATTCTGCGTTCTGCGCATACGTTCTGCGCAGGCACACATTCCAGTGGTCGGGACCTGACCATTGGAAAACATTGGAATGTTACTAATATTTCGCATATTCTGAACTTTCTTGACTTGAATCTCTAGTCTGTATCATTTACAATTAGCATAGCGAACCAGAAGAGTGTTAAAAATTCAGTATAATATATATCTAATCACAGTATTTTACAACTGTAGCACTCAGTTCAAAATGTAAACAAAGCGTTTGTTTACATTACGGATTTTACATGGCCTTTAAATAAGATAAGAATCGGGATGAAATACTGATAAAATTCTGCCTTACGGGAGAGCTTTTCAGTGTCTAAACATCAGTAGTCGCTTGAAAGCACTCGCACATTCATAAAAAGAAATTTGAAAGCTTTCGGTTCAAAAGACAAAAGGTTATTTTTTCCACACGTAATAGATATATACGAACTTCGCAGGGCTATATTTTCCTCATTTACAACTATTTCGCTGCAAAACTTTGCAATTTATGAATTTTACCGTAATTCGGAAGACTGATGCTCTTTCTAGTTTCATGCTGGTAATGGGATTTCATTCTTCGAAGTCTCACTGTAAACTACAAACTTTTCACTTCGACACGATTCATGTTCTGAACAGTTTTAATGAAAATAACAATATAATAATAACAGCATGCTCTCTACTTCAAATAAGCAACAACAACATTGTCATTGCTTTAACTTATATAATAACATTCATTTTGCTGAAGTAAGTTCCTCATTAATAGAGAGTTTTAGATTGACGTTCGTCACTATCACGGCAAACCGCAAACCGGTAGTCGACGTACCCATTACAAGTTTGCAGTTCGAATTTTAAAAACGATTTAGATTTAGGCCTAAGGTTTTAACTTCCAAAATGTGAACTTAATCGGTGGGCAATAGCATCCCAATCCATTGGCTTTTCTGGTCGCAAGCTTGCAACCTCCCTAGCCAATGCAAGATCATGTTGTATATGCTTGGCTAACGAAAGGGTTTCGTGGTCATGATATTTTTTCAAGTTTTGTATTACTATTAGACACAAACAGATTTTATATAAAATTCGCAACAAAATTAGCCTAAGAGTAAAACTTTAAATCTCAAAATTATGAGAAAAGCAAATAACAACAATAACAATGTAAATCAGCTATGCATTTGGGCTATGCTTTTGCACTCATTTTGGTTATTGACATCGACTGAATTCGACACAATATTTCAGACAATATCGCACGGATAATTAAATGTTATATATCAAAGTCTAAGTTAGCCCTTTCTACATGCAATGGAGTTTATTTTAGTTCGACAGCTCTTATAGTTTTTACGTTATATGAAATCAAACAGGTAAAGCTTTTTTCGGGACACCCGGTACCATAGATACGTTTTTAGGAAATGAGTAACTTGTCACTTAAGGTGGATTTCCAGTCCTCGCACGAAGCTCCTCGAAGTTCGCTGCGAGTGATGCATGAGCACTTTCATCCAATCACAATGCTAAACAGTTAATTTTAATTAGATGCAAGCACTCGCAGCGAGCTGCGAGGCTAGGAGCTTCGTGGGAGGACTGGAAATCCCCTTTAGTGATAAGCATTATTAACTCTACCATGCTATATAGTGTACATGCACGGTGGGTTATCCAGAAAGGACTGTAGTTCTACCAACTCCAAAATTTAAAAAAATAACGTAATGATCAAAATTTTGAATAGTTACAATAATAGTTCAATCGCAAAAATTCGATCTCTTGGCCTTGAGAATCATTGACTGAAATTCATCATCGAGTTCCCAGATCATAATATGTGACTTGATTGACTGTGTTGGCAATTTCCGTTTGCGGACCTTACTACAGCCAAGCTTCCCTTTCACACGGATACGATTGAATATTTAATAATGGATACCAGTAATATTTGTTAGGCACTAAGGACAATGAAATGTTTTGTTATAAGTGAACTATGTCTATCGAAATTCATGTTTTGCAACTGAATTTCGCTTAATTACAACATTCTAGCGCTATGATAGAAAACGCATGCCATGCAAATAGTGGAAGTTTTAGTTTGTCAAAATGTTAGTTAAAGGGATTAAATATTCGAAGTTAAATTATGGTGACTTGGTCCAATCTATATTTCGTTATTGTCTGTCCAATTCCGGGGGCAAAATAAGGTGGGGGCAGGGGCAAGCGAGCACAGCTGAATAATTCGTGTATTTTTACCTGTTTCTCTATATAGGTGTAAATATACAGAAACATATATCATCGATAATAAATTGGCCCGAAGATCAAGTCCATGTTTACAAGTCCATGCTTTACAAGTCCATGTTTTACAAGTCCATGTTTTACAAGTCCATGTTTTACAAGTCCATGTTTTACAAGTCCATGTTTTATAAGTCCATGTTTTACAAGTCCATGTTTTACAAGTCCATGTTTTACAAGTCCATGTTTTACAAGTCCA